GAACCTGCTGCAAGGAACCTAGTGATCTGACAGCCCCTGGCTACACGCCCTGTGGATCCACACTGAGGCCCTGCCCTTCCCAGGCAGCTCCCAGACAATGTGAGCACTACAGAGAAGTTAGGGCTGTGCTATTTTTCCCAGTGCTGGACTTCAGCAACAGACCTTGGGCTCCCTCTTAGCCTGGCCAAGACGTTTTGAGAATTGCAGTGCAGCATGAGGCTCTCGTCCGATCGGTCCCTCTCTCTTTCCCTCCCTCCCTCCTTCCCTCCCTTCCTTCCTGCCTGCCAGCCTGCCTGCCAAGCCTTGATCAGAACTGCACTGCAGCGTGAGGTTCTCATCCCACCAACCTACCAAATTCCTTCCTTCCTTCCTTTCCCTCAAATATCTCAGTATGGTTTCAGGCTCCTCCCACCTTTCTTTTTTTTTTTTTTTTTCGAGGTAGAGTTGCTCTGTCACCCAGGTTGGCGTGCAGTGGTGTGATCTCTGCTCACTGCAACCTCCACCTCCCAGGGTCAAGCAATTCCTCTGCCTCAGCCTCCTAAGTAGCTGGGACCACTGGCGTGCATTACCACACCCGGCTAATTTTTGTATTTTTAGTAGAGACAGGGTTTCACCACATTGGCCAGGCTAGTCAATATGGTGAACTCCTGACGTAGTGATCTGCCTGCCTCGGGCTCCCAAAGTGCTGGGATTATAGGTGTGAGCCACTGCACCTGGCTCCTCCCACCTACTTGGTAGGCATTTCCTTTTTATTTCTAATTCTGTCTCATCACCTGCTTCCTGGAGTACCTGAACTGACACAGCATACAAGGTACTAAGCATAGAATGAACGTACTGGAAACACTAGCAGTTAGTTATAATTACTATGATCTGATTAAACTAATGACTGCACTAACAGCAGAAACTCTTAGAGTCATCTACCATCAGGACAATCAGATCCAAGGGTCCTCAGCAGAATCTCAGGCCTTCCTGTCTCGTATCCAGTTCTCTACCCGTGGGACAATATTCCAAGCAGAAAATCAGTTGTTTTTCCTAATGCTTCACTGTGAGGTGAGAATTTCAAAACCACTGAATGATTGGGGAAAAAGCATTGAGAACTTCAGAATTGACTGGAATAGTGGACCTCCGCTACCTTTCATCTTAGGAAGAACAAAAACCATAGTCCTGAAGAGCCTTCTTAAAACAAGCCCCAGTGAGAGCCACATTCATTAAACAAACCCCCTCCAGAGGAAGTTCTGTGTCAAGTCTTTATTGTCCACCTAGTCTGTGTATTATTGGATGCATCTGAGCCATTTATCAGTCCTGGAGAGAAAAATCATAGTCAAGGCAGCAAGGCAAAGACAGAGGAGTCTGTGAAAACATCCATCAACTTGCAGCCCTAAGCCATGTCCATTAGAGCGCATAAAACACTTTTCAGTGACAGGTCGCACAAATGTTGTGGAGAACCCTGTTATGATGACAGCTATAAACTCAATTCTCCTGAGATCTAAGATTCTGGTTCCCATTCAGTGACCACAGACTTGGCAGAGGAGCCATCAACAATATGATAACGGCTGTGATAAAGGTGTTATTGATGCTCTGCTTATCATAGCAGAGAAACAGCCAGCAATCAGCAGCAATTAGGTGCTTAATAAAACTTCTTTGGAGACACTGCTACTAAAAAGATTGTCATAGGTGGCACAGATAACTCAGCAATCAATCTCAATGAAGTCCATGGCTGTTTTTCTTTTTGAAAGCACTTCTCTCATCAAAATAATAACTATGTGACTTTGGCTCCATCGAAAGGAAGGGGAATCAACTTTGATCTGATTAGGCACATGGAAGGCATTGGTATGATGACCACCTAAGCAGACCCTGCCATACCTGGCACACTCAGAGGTCAAGGGCAAGACCAGGAAAAGGGGAGAAGAGGCCAACGTGAGAGGTGGCAGTAGGGCTCTCTCAATTCACAAAGTTAACCATGACTGAGGTCTCAGTACTAAATTCTGCAGTGTAATTTGTATGTTGCTAATGAAAATAACCCAAAAGGGAAGAGACCACACTCATCACCTTTGGGAAAAGAGAAACTATATTGAATTACTGGAAGAAAATAAATGTATAAGAGACAGGTAATTTGCAATTATACAAATTACTCTATTGTGATTCCCACTCCTGTTTCCCTTATGCCAAATCCATTCTAGGTCAATATATATTCTATAGTAGCAAAAACATTGACTTGAGAACCTGACAAAAACAAGCAATGCGGAAAGGATTCCCTGTTTAATAAATGGTGTTGGGAAAACTGACTAGCAACATGCAGAAAGCAGAAACTGGACCCCTTCCTGACACCTGACACTAAAATTAACTCCAGATAGATTAAAGATCTAAACATAAGACCTACCACCATAAAAACCTTAGAAGAAAATCTAGGCAAGACCATTCAGGACATAGGCATAGGCAAGGACTTCATGGTTTAAACACCAAAAGCAATGGCAACAAAAGCCAAAATAAACAAATGGGATCTAATTAAACTCCAGAGCTTCTGTACAGCAAAGGAAACAATTATTAGAGTGAACCGGCAACCAACAAAATGGGAAAAAATGTTTGCAATCTACTCATCTGACAAGAGCTGATATCCAGAATCTACAAAGAACTAAAACAGATTTACAAGAAAAAAACAAACGACCCCATCAAAAAGTGGCCGAAGGATATGAACAGACACTTTACAAAAGAAGACATCTATGGGGCCAACAAACATGAAAAAATGCTCATCATCACTGGTCATTAGAGAAATGCAAATCAAAACCACATTGAGATACCACCTCACACCAGTTAGAATGGCAATCATTAAAAAAAATCTGGAGATGGCCAGGTGCAGTGGCTCAAGCCTGTAATCCCAGCACTTTGGGAGGCCTAGACGGATGGATCACAAGGTCAAGGGATCGAGATCATCCTGGTCAACATGGTGAAACCCCGTCTCTACTAAAAATACAAAACATTAGCTGGGCATGGTGGTGCGTGCCTGTAATCCCAGCTACTCAGGAGGCTGAGGCAGGAGAATTACCTGAACTCAGGAGGCGGAGGTTGTGGTGAGCCAAGATCGTGCCATTGCACTCCAGCCTGGGTAATAAGAGTGAAACTCTGCCTCAAAAAAAAAAAAAAAAAAAAAAAAAAATCCGGAGACAATAGATGCTGGAGGAGAGGATGTGGAGAAATAGGAACACTTTTACACTGTTGGTGGGAGTGCAAATTAGTGCCACCATTGTGGAAGACAGTGTGGCGATTCCTCAATGACCTAGAAATACCATTTGACCCAGCAATCCCATTACTGGGTATATACCCAAATAATTATAAATTGTTCTATTATAAAGACACATGCAGACATATGTTCATTGTGGCACTGTTTACAATAGCAAAGACTAAGAACCAACCCAAATGTCCATCAACAATAGATTGGATAATGAAAATGTGAAACATATACACTATGGAATACTATGCAGCCATAAAAAATGTTTGTGTCCTTCATAGGGACATGGATGAATCTGGAAACCATCATTCTCAGCAAACTGACACAAGAACAGAAAATCAAATACCACATAGTATCAGTCATAGGCAGGTATTGAACAAGTAGAACACATGGACACAGGGAGGGGAGCATCACACACTATGGTCAGTTGTGGGGGACTAGGGAAGGGAGAGTGGGGGGTGAGGAGGGTGGGGAGGGATAACGTAGGGAGAAATACCAGATATACATGATGGGGGGGAGGAAGGCAGCAAACCACCTTGCCATGTATGTACCTATGCAGCAAACCTGCATAATCTGCACATGTTCCCCAGAACCTAAAGTACAATTTAAAAAAAATGTTTGAATGGATTTTTGGAGTAAATCACCTTCACTCCAAAAATCATCTCTTCTAGCTAGCTTTTCATTGACTTAGGTACCCCTTGGTTGACTTTTATTTTAGTAGCTGAATGGTTCTCAGTTAATAAAAGCTTCTGTAACTCATAAAGTTTAAGATCGGAAGGTAAGAAGAAAATGAGATATGCGTGTATACACTGCCCAAAGTTTTCTCCTTTCTGTTCATATGTCTCTTCCTTTTTTCTCTCTTGCAACACAGAAAGCACATATCAGGGTTGTTTCTTGGCCTATGGCCCATATAAGGCTTAATCTTGCTATAGTTAAAGAGGGCATATACTTAGAGAGACCTCACCACGTGAGCAAGAATGTGTCCTCAGAGGCTAAAAGTAGCTAGAAAGATTATCCCCTAAGCCCAGGATCCTTGGGTCTGATCCGCAGAACTAAGTCAGTCTTTACAAATTTGTATTTCCATTCGATTTGTGAATATGACCCCAAAATAGCATTACCAGAAGAAAGTATATGGAAAATTCCAGCCAAGCACAGTGGCTCATGCCTATAATCCCAGCACTTTGGGAAGCCAAGGCGGACAGATCACGAGGTCAGGAGATGGAGACCATCCTGGCCAACACAGAGAAACCCTGTCTCTACTAAAACACAAAAAATTAGCCAGGCATGGTGGTGGGCAGCTACTTAGGAGGCTGAGGCAGGAGAATTGCATGAACCTGGGAGGCGGAGGTTGCAATGAGCCGAGATAGCACCAATGCATTCCAGCCTGGCAACAGAGCAAGACTGCGTCAAAAAAAAAAAAAAAAAAAAAAAAAGAATCTCTCTGCTAAAGAGACACCTGCATTTTTTAATTCAATAGCTGTATATGAAGCCCTCCTCAGTGTGCAGTGCAGTGTGTACCATCCCCCAAACCCCCAATAAGTACAGTGCACTCAGCTCTTCCCTTATCAACATGATCCAGACCAGATTCTCCAAATTCCATAGGGCCCTGCCTGCCTCTGGACCTGGAAAAGCCAGACTTATCACCAGAAGCTATTACAATAACCCTAGTCCCCGCATCCCCAACTTCACCTTATAAGACTTCCTTTACTCTCTGGGAGAGAGTCCAATCAGTACCTTGAACAGTTCCACGGTTTCTGGTAGGGAGATCATATACCTGTTGGTTTGTTCTGTAAGCAGGCTGGGGTTCCTTCTTCTTGATTTCTTTCTCTGGTCCTAATAACACTGTTCCTTCTTCCTCCTCATCACTCTCTTCATAATAGGAATCAAACGTATCAGCATAATACTCTTCAGCCACAAGTGGGTCTTCTGGGATCTCTGAAATAATGAACAAACAACAGTCAGACACTACCAATTATTAAAATTATAATGAGGGAAGAATACCCTGTCTTTTTACAGGGATGTATATTTTGCTTGCACCGACAAAGATTCTATGGTGTGCAGAGCTGAATCTTAGCTCCCTGAAAGTATTTAGTTGAATGTAATAAACACTCAGCAAAATAAAACCAGTGGAGTAAAGGAGGAACATTTGCGTTGGCGACTACCTGTTGAAGGTAAGAAAAAATTATGAAACAAGAATAAATAATATGCTTTAACATCTTAACCTTTGGAGGCATGAATCTTTATTAACAATGAGGAAATTTAGGAGCAAAGGTAGGACAAGATGTCCTGGCTGAAAGGTCCTATTATTACACAACACACATACATTTTTCAGCAAAGGTAGTTGGAGAAAAACTACCACAGCATTTTTCCTAGATTTTTTTTTTTAATGTTACTGGTAGTACCAAACAAGATGAATAGGATATATAGCAGCAGTATTTTGGCAAGCTGGGGAAAACACTATTTTTTTCTAATAGGTAATGATGGCTTTTGAGATGGAGTTCACACTGGTGGGTCCTCCTTGCTCAACCTTACATTCAGCACTTATTATAAAAAAGAATACCCACTCAAGCTGATGACAATAAGCATCTACTCAAGCTACTTGATACAACATTGTTAGTAACTAAAATTAAGTAGGTGTTTTTAACAATCTTCAATGAAGAAAGGCCAAGAATGGATCACAGTAAAGCATAACAATATAAACTCTAATTTACTAATGGGGGCCTAGAAATAAAGAACTACCCAAAGAACTACCCTTGGGTCGGGGTAGGAGAAAATTACAATACTCAACTGCAGCAAAACAGTAGGCAGTTTAGACTCTGCACCATATTCAGACTTAAAAATGAAACCTTTCTTCTAAATTGTAACAAATTATTTTTCAACCTATTGTTGCTATTTCCTGTCTAGTGGGAAAAACATGAAATTTGGGGTCAGAGAATCAAGACTGGAATCTAGCTCTACCGACTTTTAGATGAAAATTTGTGCAAGAGACTTAAGGTCACAGAGCTCCAATTTCTGTGGTGAAATTAACATAAGGGTAATCTAGTAGGGTGGCTACTATCATTTAGTAATAGAATTCTCATGAAAGCATCAGTACGCAGCGAAGTTTCATACAAATGTTCACTCAATTTCCATGTGTATAAAAATGGGCTTTTCATTAACTGAGTCCGGAATCCTTTGAAAATAAAATACTTAATGGATGTAGAATTCCCTGGAAACAAAAGACACTAAAATGTGTTTTTATCTATTTTTTTTCCCAGTAAAACATAAAAGGCTGCTGTGCAGTAAGATAAAAATTAGCTCAAAAGACAAAAATTACATACATTCAAAATCACCTTTGCAAATTCCTTAGAAAGGGGTGTAATGGAGACCTCATACCTTATCTCAGCAATTTCGACACAGTGTATTTTCCCTTCAGACCAGCTCAGATCACTGATTTTCAGGTGAACATCAGATGAGATGGAATATTGGTATAAAGAAGCCACATTTTTTATTATTTTTTGTTATTAATATTTAAATCATATATATTATTTTTATTAAACATGGCTTCTAGTCGTTATATCAAGAAGACACCTGCACATGTCTGCATATGTGTACATATATATAAAACACATACCTATACATGCATGAACATGCATATATAACTTCAATAGCTTTTGTGTACAAGTGGATTTTGGTTACATGGGTGACTTCTGCAGTGGTGAAGTCTGAGATTTTAGTGCACCCTCACCCAGGTAACATACACTGTACCCAATACGTACTTTTTCATCCCTTACCCCACTCCCACGCTCCTCCTTTCTGAGTGTCCAAAGTCCATTATCCCACTCTGCACGCCTTTGTGTACCCATAGCTTAGTTCCCACTTATAAGTGAGAACATAGGGTATTTGGTTTTCCATTCCTGAGTTACTTCACTTGGAATAATGCCTACAGCTCCATCCACGTTGCTGCAAAAGACAGCATTTCATTCTTTTTTTAATGGCTGAGTAGTATTCCATATGCCACATTGTCTTTATTCACTCATCAGTGATGGGCACTTAGGTTGGTTTCATATCCTTGCAATCGTGAATTGTGCTATGATAAACATACAGGTGCAGGTGTCTTTTTGATATTATGACTAGAAGCCATGTTTAATAAAAATCTTTGACTTACACTGAGAATGACAAGAGGATCACAGCATGAGTATATGAAAACTAAAATCCCGAGAGATCTCCAGTTCTGCCATCAAGTAGGGGCATGTGCTTGCTGAGTGGAATGACAGATGGAACCATATGACATCGTTCTTCTCTTGCCCACCCTCAACTCTCCCTGAATCTCTGTGTCTCTTCCTCCAACTTGTCCATTCTCTCTCTCTCCACACGCTCTTCTACTTCCTCTCCCTCTCCCTGAGTCTCTTTGTCCCTTTGACAGTTGTCTATTCTCTTACCCATTCATACTTTTCCCTCTTGCTCTCCCATTTTTTTTTTATTTGTCTTAATTCCTCCTTGTCCAATCCTTTGGCTTTCAAACCATGGCATGGTAAGAAATACCATTTACATTGTTACCCCATGCACAGAAATGTGCTTATATATGCATACACAAATATATAGTTGAAACAAAAGTTTCATACATCAAGACCTACATACCCAACTACATGTGACACACTCTAGTGTTTTTCATTCTATTCAATTATTATTTTTTTATGCTAGTTGCAACTCGCTAGACTTCTCAATCTGCAGAATGGCTAGAGAAGCCAACATTCAAAAACACTCCTTTAGAATGCTGGCTTTCGCATAAAAAATAAAAATAAAAATAAAAATCTGCATTTAAATCAAGGTTGTAGCAATAGCTCTGTAACATTGTGTTTAATTTAAACTTTCTGCACTTTGGTTTTCTCATCTATAAAATAAAAATGATAATATTCATCTCACAGAATTGTTGTGACCATTACATAGTATAACGGATGCAAAGTATATATCAAACCAACGTTAGTTACTATTGGAAGTAATAAGACAAACACTCAGGAGTTTTACCTATAATACCCAACACTGGGAAGAAGTAACAGTCATGCATCACTTAACAATGAGGATATGTTCTGAGAAATATATCATTCAGGTGATTTCATCATTGTGAACATCATAGAGTGCACTTACACAAACCTAGATGGTATAACCTACTATACATCTATGTTTATATGGTATAGCCTATTGCTCCTAGGCTACAACCCTGTACAGCAAGTTACTACACTGAATACTGTAGACAATTGTAATATAGTATTTGTGTATTTTAACATTAAAAATGTACAGTAAAAATACAGTGTAAAGGATTTTTTAAGTGGCACACCCATACAGGGCCCTTACCATGAATGGAGCCTGCAGGGCCAGAAGTTGCTCTGGGTGAGTGAGTGGTGAGTGACTGTGAAGGACTAGGACATTACTGTACACCACCATAGACTTTATAAACACTGTCCACTTAGGCTACACTACATTTATAGAAAAGTCTTCTTTTCTTCAATAATAAACAGCTTACTGCGAGTTTTTTAAACTTTTTGACTATTACAACACTTAGCTTAAAACACAAACACATGGTACAGCTGTACAAAAACATTTTCTCTCTTTATATCTCTCCTGACTAGGAGATATTCCATAAGCGTTTTTTTTCAACTCTTTTGTTAAAAATGAAGACACAAACACACACCTTAGCCTACTCCTACACAGTGTCAGGATCGCCGACATCTAAAGTCTTTTAATGTCTTAATTTAATGACATTTTAATGTCTTCCGCCTCATCTTGTCCCACTAGAGGGTCCCTAGGGGCAGTGACACACACGGAGCCTCCATCTACTGCGGTAACAGTGCCTTCTTCTGAAATACCTCCTGAAGGAACCGCCTGAGGCTGTATTACAGTTATTTTTTTTTAATAAGTAGAAGGAGTACACTTTAAAATAATAATAACAAAAAGCATAGCAGGCCAGGTGTGGTGGCTCACTCCTATAATCCTAGCACTTTGGGAAGCTGAGGCGGGTGGATCACCAGGAGTCAGGAGTTCGAGACCAGCCTGGGCAAAATGCCAAAACCCCCTCTTTACCAAAAATACAAAAAATTAGCTTGGTGTGGCTTCACACACGTGTGGTCCCAACTACTTAGGAGGCTGAAGTGAGAGGATCACTTGAGCCTGGAAGATGGCGGTTGCAGTGAGCTGAGATTGTGCCACTGCACTCTAGCCTGGGTGACAGAGACCACACTTCAAAAAAAAAAAAAAGTAAATACATAAAGTAGTAACAGTCACTTGTTATCATTATACTGTACATAATTACATGTATTACATTTCTATATGGTATAGTCGGTTTATTTGCACTGCATCATCACAGACATGTGAGTGATATGCTGCTCTGCAATGTTATGATGGCTATGAGAGCACTAGGTGTTAGGAATTTTTCAGCTTCATTAATGGGACCACCATTGTATATGCAGTTTGTCATTGACCAAAAGATTGTTATGCAGTGTATGACTGTATTAGACAACTGCATATATATACCCGTTTAAAATATTTCTTTTTTCAAACAGAGCTGTATTAGACAACTGCATATATATACCCATTTAAAATATTTCTTTTTTCAAAATCCATACTGAAATCAGCTGAAATGAGCAATATGGAATCTTGCCTCTCTCTGGTTTCCTTTTTGCTGGACTCCACAGGAACCGTCAGGCACTTCACCACCCTGTTCACCTCCCACCGCCCTTCCTGTCCACTGGTTCTATCTACATTTGCTTCAAGCAGCTCAAACGAAACCTCTGCTATAGGGGTTGACAAATACGTTCTGTAAAGGGCTAGACAGTAAAAAATTTTAGGCTTTGCAGACTACGTGGTCTCTGCCACAAGTATCTAACTGCCTTTGTAGTGTGAAAACAGACAATACATAAATGAATGAGTGTGGCTATGTCCCAGTAAAACTTTACTTA